TTTATAGATAGAAAGGTTCTATATTTTAAAGAGAGTAATTCTCCCCAAATTAATCTATAAATTTAAGAAATTTCAATAGTCTTCTCCTTGAATTTGACAAGTGGCCATAAAATATACATGGAAAAGTAAAGAGCAAAGAATAGCCAATATACTCATGAAGAAAATGTTGGGCGGAACATTCCTACCAAAAATTCTCTTCCAAACTGACACTTACTAAAGCCAAGATAAAGACACCATGGTAGTAGCACAAGGACTAACAAACAAATGAGAAAACTCAGAAACAGACTCACTGATTATGGAAACTTCATTTTTAACACAGCTGGCACTCATAATCAATGAGAAAAGGTTGGACTAATTAGTCTCATGTTGGGGCAGTTGCGTTTCAATATGGAAAAACGATGTTTTCCCTATTCCCTGTTTCTCACCATAAACTGTAGTCACTCCCAGGTAGATTTCAGTCCTAAATGTGAGAGACAAACTATAAAAGTTTTAGAACACACTTTGTAACATAATTTTTATATTACAGTAGGGAAGGATTTCTTAAACAAATGACCAAAGCACTAAATACTAAAAAAAAAAAAAAAAAAAAAACACAAAGATTGATAATTAGAACATATTAAGTTAAGAACTTTTGTAAAACAAGGCACAATTAGGGCACATTTCAGACCTGTAAGACACATAAAATATTGGCAATATTTTGAAATCCTAACCAATCTCAGTGTTGTCAGAATGTCAAGCAAAAGGAATTCATGCATATTGTCAGTGAAAGCAAAAACCAATATGATACAACATTATAAAATGATTAGAAATCAATAAAAAATGTTAAAAAAACTCAATATAGGCACTTTGTAAAGTAAGTTTGGCGTTTCTAGTAAAGCTGAACATGTACATACTCTCTAACCCAGTAACTTCACTCTCCAGTGAACAGAGCTTAGATAATATAGCTTAGATGTATGTATCCATCAAATATACAAAATTTTCTTAGCAGCCTTGGTTATAGTAATATAAACCATTAAAGAGTCTAATTTTTCATCAATAATGTAATGAATATTATACAGTGGTGGCAATGAAAATGAAACTATAGCTGTATTTATCAATATGGCTGAAATTTACAAACATGATTGTATATTAAAGAAGCAAACACAAAAGAGTAATACACAAGATGGTTTCGTGCATATCAAGTTCAAAATCCAGCAAAACTAAAAATTATCACTTAGGAATCCACACATAGTTGGAAAAGCTATAAAGAAAATCAAGGTACTCATTAAAATAAAACTCAGGATAGTCGTTAACATTAAGGAAAGCAACTTTGATAAAACAGGGAGCAACACATAGGTACATTTAAGATACTGGTGTGTCCTATTTTTTAAGCTGGGTAGTATATACACAGATGCATGTCTTATTATACACATACACACAAAAGTTTTATTCACTTTTATATGAATAAAACATTTTACCATTTTAAAAACTACTTTAAAAAAAGTCTAATATCAAACACAACTCACAGACATTTCAGCCTTTAATAGGAAACAGTAGTAGAAGAATATGTCAAAGGAATTTTAAGTTATAAATGTCCAAAGAATTAACTGGAAGGAAAAAAGCACTGATAAAATAAGAATGAGAAATCATAAAATAGACATATATTAAAATGAATGCTATGGGCATGAAAAAGAGATGTAATTTTAAAATCCATTTAAATGGCTAAACAGTTCACTGGACAAAGCTGAAGAGAGAACTAGTGAATTGCAACATAAGGGGAAAGAAATCTCCCCAAGTGCCCTAACAGAAATAAAAAGATGGAGGATATGAAAGAAAAGCCAGTAGGGGAGGGTACAGCTCAGTGGAAGAATGTGTGCTTAGTATGTATGAGGTCCTGGGTTCAATCCCCAGTACCTCCGTTTAAAAATAAATAAATAAATGAACCTAAGTCTCCTCATCTCAAAAAGAAGTCAGTAGATACACAGGATAAAATATGGAGTTATAATATAATAGAAGACACCAGGAAAAGAGAATAGAGAAAATTAAAGAAGCAATATTTGAACACATAGTAGCTGAGAATTTTCCAAACATGCAGAAAAATATGAATTGTCAGATTACAAAAGCCCACCAAGCATCATTTGAAAGTTGAAAATAATAATCACACCCTGATCTACATTATAATAATAAAACTACAAAGCATTCAGGGACAAAGAAAAAACATAAAGGCTGCTTTCCAGGAAATACATTATCTACAAAGGACAATTGGATTGATAGCAGACTTCTCATCAGTAGTAATAGAAAATATTACCAAAATGTGGAGCAAAAACTAACTGTAAACTTAGAATTCAATCACATAAGAGAGAGAATGAAAAGAGATATCTTCAGACATATAAAGACTTTTTATAAATATAAAAAAATCTTTTTATCAAGAAATTTTATTATCCACACAACCTTTACTGAAAGCAATAATAGAGGTACTTAAAAAGGAAGAAGATCAAACCCAAGAGGAAGCAGCGAACAAATAAAAACTGAGAAAGGGTATTAACATAGCAGGGTAGTAAATATGGATAATTATTGATTGTAAAATTACTAAGTATAATAACAATAAGAATTTGTATATTTAAAAATTTGCATGGTAAGATAGTACAGGATACAGCATACAGACTCTGAAGCTAGACTGGGCTTGAATATGAACCAATCGAAGTTCTCTCTAAAACTAAAAATAATGACTAAAGAACAGTTATGACATCAAAGAAATATAATTTATATTTTTTGCTTTTGTGGGCCAACTGTTATCTCTAATAGAGCAATAGAAGGGCTGAAAAGAAAGACAACTGTGATTTTTCAGACCAGTTGAACTTTTGTTAAAAGCTTAAGCAAAAGATATTCAGAAAGATAATCTTCATACTGTTCAAGAAAAATTTTCACAGATGGCTAGTTTGGATATTCAACGAGAAAGTAAATATGTAATGTCTTTGTACAATTATTTCTATCTTAAAACATTCTTTTGTAGAAATTCTATCAGATGGAAGACAGATACGTAAAGGAATAAAATTGTTTTGGAGCTGGCCAGGAAGAGAAGTAAAGTCCTGGGTTAATAAAGTTGACAAATTTTTTTTAGCCTCTTATATTGACAGTAGCCACAGAGCAGGATTAAGGCTTTGCCTGATTTCTTTGGGTCAGAGCTGAAAAACTATTGCAATTCAATTATATTCTTAGTTTTGTAAGTATTTAAGTGCTTATTATACGCATAGGCCTTTAGCAATTTGCAATGAGTTGCTTCTTTCTAAAATCACCTCCTTTTCATCATTTTACGATGGAACCTCCAACCCCTTCAGAATCCCAAGAGGATGGCCACCAAGCTCAGTCTTGCACTTTTTGGGTAACTGGCTCAATTTCAAACACAACACACTTTTCTTCCGGGTTGAAAAGATTCCACCAAAAGGCTTTCACTTGGCAAGCAATACCTTACTCCTGTTTCACCAGGATCTCTCCTTTTTGTGAGTTACTTTTATTTTTAATGTTAATAAATATAATTTCTAGGCTTTGGTTATTTTACTGCATTCACTCTCTAAGTTATTTCTCTCATTTTGGGAAGGTTTACTTAAGTCAGAGTAAGTGTTAACATCTTGTATTTACTCAACAAATATATTGTGGGCAATCACCACATGGCAGGCTCTGATCAGATCACGTTATGTTTCTGCTCAAAACCCTCTCATGTCTTCTCATCTCATTCTGAGAAAAGCCCGTCTTTACTATGAAATACAAGCCTACCTTCCCTCTACCGTTCACAATCTCTCTGACCTTCTCTCCATTATTCTGACTCTCACTCTGCTCTGCTTACACTAGCCTTCCTGCTGTTCTTCTAATAGGCCAGGTGTATTCCCACCTTAGAATTTTGTGTTTGCTGTTCTCTCTGCCTGGATTACTTTCCCCAGATATCCACATGATTTCCTCCTTCACTTCTCACTTTACTTAAATGACAGCAAGGATTTCCCTGACCTTACATTAAATTACATTATCAGTCTCAATTTTTTCACCCCTCTGTAGTAGCATTACACACCCACACTCTGGCCTGATGGTGGCCAAAATGTATATCCTTGCCCTTTAGACCTGACCATGTGATTTGCTATAATTCCTGGGACACTGGTTGGTGGACATGGTTCAGAGACTTTAAAAGGTTTGCACTGCTAGGCCTGTGCTCTTATACTCTTGCTTTTTGCCAAGGAAGATAACATGATTTGGTATTCCATTGGTGCCAGAAAAATGGGAAACATATGGAACATAACTGAAACTGAGCCATAGACTGGAATCAAGTCTAGCCTTGATTACCTCAACCTCAGGAAACCCTCAGACCTGTCCAGTGTTGTAAGGCTACTGATTTTTAGGTGGTTTGGTACACCCTTGAGTATGAAAATAGCAAATACAAAGTAAAAACTGCCAACATCCAGATGATCCTCATCCCTTTTCCTTATTAATTTTTCTCCATAGAAGTACTTAAACTATAGCACCTTTTGTTTATTGTCTATCCCACTGCATACTCACATGTATATATGCACACAAATAAAAGCTCCATGAAAGAAGTAATTCTTTTCTATTTTGTTTATTGTTATCACCACTGCGTGGCAAATAAGGCCTGGTACTCAACAAACATTTGCTGAATGAATTAATAAAATAAACAAGACAAAGTCCCTGCACTCATGGAACTTATGTCTTCATCGGAAAAAGCCAGAAGACTAACAAGTATACAAATACCGATATTTAGATAGTTGTGAGTGTTTTTGAGGAAAATAAAACAGGAATGGAATAAAAAACATTGGAGTACAAGGAGGAAGAATTGTATAGATGATTAAAAAGCTTCCAGGAGCAGGTGTCATGTAAGATGAGTGCTGAACAAAGATCCCTGCATGCATCTGGGAGAAGACCAAAAAGTAGTAAAAGTTTATTAACAAAGAAATGAGAATTCTGTGAACAGTTCTTTGGGGTAGAATTTTGTCTTTTTCTTGGGCTTTGTGGAAGATTTTCCTGGGTTGATCTAATCACATACCTGTAGATTGATCATCAGCATTTGGGAAGAAAGGTACAAGATGCTAAAAGACGATTTGATTGCCATTTTAATGAAGCCATGTATACAAGAATTGTGGTATAAGTTTTGTTAACTAAAGTAAATAGTGGGTATGAGTTCCAATTTCAGTCATCTCCATAAGAATAGAGAGAGGGAGATCACATGTTCTTACTACCATTTCACTCTTCCTGTGATTAAATCATTCCTGGGTAGAAAGCAAAAGGACACAGAAAGGTGCATTAACTCTTTCAAGCCACTAGGGAATTATTTCGTATACAGCTACTGAAAGGCACTAAGTGTGCCCTTAAGTACATGCCTTACCATCTCAAGTTACTCAAGCACTAGGGAGAAAACACTCTATTGTTATTTAATATTATCTACTAGATTTTGCTGCTATTTAAACTGGATCTATGCAAGTTTTAGTGAATAATACTCAAATGAACTACAGATATATTTATCACATATATATATATATATATATATATATATATATATATATAAAAATCTCAGAAAATAATAAAGCTATCAGGCAACCATGAAGCTCAAAATTGTATTACTTTGATAATGCAATCTTCTTAAATGTTTTCATGTGAAATGAGACCATTTGTTTAAACTGATTGTGACCATCACTTTTAAAAACTGAAGAGGATACATACACACACACATATATATGTAAGTACTCATATATATGACATACAGTATAATGTAGGAGAAATGGAATAAATATTTCATAAGGCACTGAATGTATGTACAAATGTGATTAGAAGATACAGACTGTTAGATCAAATATCCATCTTAAAATTTCAGTGCTTTGGTGGTTAAAACAGTAAAAGAAAAACAACATTGTTTTGCAGTTAGAAACCTGTTTCTAATCAACTGAGCTACTCCTGTGGGGTCAAATAAAAATGATTAGCTTATTAAAAGCATAGCTTTGCTATTTAATAAGCAAAAATGATTGAAAATTCTGCTCCAGATCCTGATAATTTTAGTGTTTCTAGTTAAGCCTGCAAAATTGCATTCATTATTAGTGTCTAGATTCATTAACAATTCAATTTATAGATATTAATGCTTATAATGCATGCTTCGCTTGCCAAAACTTGAAGAGAAATTGTTTCAATTAGCTTTCATGGATCATGAATCCTACCGGCTGGGTATTTTTAGACAAAAGATACAAACACATCCCCAAGCAATGCTAATGCACAGCTGGGACTCATGTGTAAGGTCACTTGAGCTAACAGTTTAAAAGGAAAAACAGTAAATGAGTTTTACCCAGATGAGCAAGACAGGAACAGTCTTGTGTTTCCAACCAAATATTTGAAAGGCATATACGCACCTTAAGAAAAATGGCAACAGAATTGTTTGCTTTTGCGATTTCTAGAAGGTAAAACCACTAGACAGAAATTGGCAATCTAAACTCAGCAAGCAATATTCAGCATATAAGACAACGTGGGAAGTCTCAGTGAGAGATCTTAAATTGCCCCTTAGTTGAAAAGAAAGGGGATTTCTTAGACATCTCAAGATTAACATAAATATGAATTCTGCCGCTTGTACAGAGCCATGCTCTAGGCAGAAGAATAAAAAAAACAGATTGATTTCCCAAATGATTCAGATGACAATTAAGATTTATAGATAATTATTAATTCTCCATTTCATTTTGGGCTGCATTCAACTAGCTCAAAGTTGCTATTTAATGTCAGCAGCAAACAGCACCCTTGAGTAGAAGAGATTTTTTTTTTTTGGAAAGATACCCACCTCCTCCAGGTACACTTCTCTCACATAAATCTTCATGTAAACTGAGGACTATAGCCCATCCTTGCACTTTACGTAGCATAGTATAGTGTAGCATAGCAAAGCATAGCATCACGTCTCCACCCCCATGTGGTTTCTGGTTGTTCATAGCTTGGTATTTAGCAGAGTACCAAGAGAAAGAGGTGACTTTCCTCTCAAAACAAAGAGATATTTCATTTGTGTTCAATGAAGTGCTGACCCACATCATATACAAGAACAGACTAAATAATGATACTTGACTGCCTCAAGAACAATTACAACTCCTTCAAGGATCCCTTGAGAGAATCTTAGAGAACTTTAAAGCTAGTAGTGTGAAATCAAAATTAAGTTTGAGAAAACCATGAGATTCTGGAAAACTAGTGAAACACTAAACTCTAAAGTTATTAGTGTCATAAAAGTACAGTTGGGAGAGAGAGAGAGCATGAAAAGAATATAAACTCTTCAGGAACATTTTAGATGAGGGAGGATGAAAAGATGTAAAATGTTTCTTCTAAAACTAACTGAACTTTGGATTAAATCTTAGATATTGGTCTAGAGGAACAATAAATATGCTTCTAGAAGAACTATTCAATTCATTACTATATTTTTTAGACTTAATAGTGGTATAACATCTCCCACTGACAATTAGGAGTCTACTATAAATCATAACTGCCACAAAAGACACTTAATAAAACTCAAAAATATCAGGATTAAAATCTAGATTTCTGAAAAAAAATGAAAAGGAAATCTGATTGCCTTGAGAAGGTTATAAAAACGGACATGAGAATGAATTAAAGGGTAGTAGAAAATGGAAAGGAAAGTTTGAAGAAAAATGTGAAAACTTCAGCTTTTGATAGAATAGTTTGGATAAAGGTCTAAAACACCGACAGAAAGAGAACTAGGCTAAAAGCAGTCCATACATGGGACTAAACACAAAGAATAATGATGTAGCCTATTTGTTTATTCAGTCAGTATGACTGCAGAAATATATATACAGTGCATTTTCTCACACTGCCAAATTCATGATGAGTAATTTATTCTTAAAAAACTACAATTTATCTTTAAGCCAAATAAGTTGTTTAATAAATTAATTGGCCCAAACACACACACATAAACATATCCCCCCCCCCAAAAAAAACAGAATGACAAGGGCCATGGTCACTGATGAAATCATTAGCACTACCACATTACTATTCAGGTCCATAATTCATTCTTTAGTATTAGAGTCCATAGGGGCCTGGTTTGCTTCCCCACACTGAAAATAGAGAACAGCAGGGATCCCTGTTACAAGAAGCTCACTTCCCCATTCTTTCATAAGCTTCCTCCAGCTTTTAAGTGCTCTGATTATTCTTTTGTCTCTGTGGCTAACCTACTACTTAAAGTACTTCTCTCTCCCTGCTCCTCCCATACCTCTATAATGGATGCAAAGATCAGTGACCCCCTCAGGAATAGTACTTTCAGCAAGGAGTGTGGTGAGGTAGTCATGGGATTTCCATTATTGTTAACAGAAACTGAAGGCTCTAGTCCATCCCTGAAAATCTAACCCATGCTTCTGATGCTGAGAATTATATTTCCATGTAATCTATACTACCTATACAGCCAATGCATTTTAGGTTATAAAACCACAGAGGATGTTTAGAGGATGACAATATGAGTAATAAATATAACAGGGTATATAGATGCTCAGAAATCCCAACTGGCATATATTAACATTACAGAGCAGTTTGTGAAGGTGGCTAAGTGTAGAAATCTGGACCTAGTTAGATCTCATAATTTTGAGGAAATATGCTGGGTGGTGGGAGACAGTCAATACTACTTCACCCGTAAGATAAATATCAGTGTTTTTCCTATAAAGACTTCCTAGAGGAACAAAAAGGAAGTCACACTGAACAAATGATATAAATATTACTACTCCAGGAAGGCAGGCATACTATCACATTTACCAATGTATTTCCATGGCCACCCTAAAATAATGCCTGCCACATAGTATGCACTCAAATATTTGTTGAATTAATGGATACATTATTTCTCACAATGTGGCTTAAGTTTCTTCCTACAGAAAACAAAATAATAGTAGCATCATTCAAAGATTGTTTGTGAGGATTAAAAGAAACTAAGCAATAATGCAAGATGATAAACTGAGGGGAAAGTGAAATCTGGTAAGGGGTATATATGGACTCTCTGTATTGCTTTTGCAACTTTTCTGTAAATCTAAACTTATATTCCAAAATCAAAAGTTCAGTTAAAAATACATATCAAGCAATGGACTGAAGCCAGCATCTGATAGTTGCTCGGTATGGTCAACAACTATTTCCTGACTATCCTCTCAACACCATCCATGCACTCAGAGGCGTCAAGAGCATGCTAGTGATGCTGACCAAGAAGACCAAACCAGCTGACAAATCAGAGTAGAGATTTGCTGGTTATTTGTTGGTTAGTTCCTGAAACCTGTATTGGCCCTAAGTTATTTTGAATAGTCTCACTGGGTACTACTAAAGGACTCTATCAATATCACCTATCACTTTTTCTTTCTTCTAATTTTTTCTATTATACTTCTATTTCTTTGTTGTCCTCCCAAGTGGTACACAATGACACTTACTGGCATTTCTTGATGGTGACTCCCATCTTAATATATGTTCACTGAAGCTACTGCTTTTGGAAAAGAATGGTTAGACTTTATTCAAAATCTAACTCTGGTTCCCAGATGTTCTGATACCTTAAGCCTAATATTCATGAATAGGATGGCAGCTTAGTTAAAAATAAAAATAGTCATCTGCTTGAAATGCAAAGGAATGTTTCCATAAATAACTTTCCAACTAATGGTATAAAAATTGCCAAATTTCTACATCTACCTATGAGAGTTTTGGTGGGATACTTATTCCTACAACTGACAAATATACATTTAAAGTTCTTTCGTAAAAAAATAATTGGGTCTTCCTAGAAAGCAATCTCCTTTTTTAATATCAGAAAGTTTGGGGAAAAAAACATTTAACACTGATTATCAGTTTATCTCTCTTTTGAAGAATGTACAGAACTATTTCTGAAGGCTTAGAAGCAAAACAAATACAGTAAACGGAATCATTTTCCCCATAATTTCTACTAAAAACTGCAAATGTGTTACCATTAAAAAAACATTAATTTTAAAAAACACTGTTTCCTTAAAAATGAAGTAAATGTTTTTAAAGACAAAATACTGATATAGT